TTAAAATCTTCAAATATCACCACATTTTACAAGTTTTTCTGCTGCTACAAAACAGAGCTGCACCACACTCAGAAAAGTGAAAAATGATTTTAATTTAGCTGTAAAAATTCAATCAGAACTATTCCTGTCCAGCTTTCAATGTTTTGGAAATACACCATCAATGTCGTATTCAGGCATCTACAGAAATCAGGAATAACTCAGAAGCATCGACAGATTGTTTTATTGGCTGAATGTCTGCAGAGGAGCCGAGGTCAGATCAACATAAACACTAACATGATTTCAAGAATGCTAATTCCTGTCGTTGACTCGGGGTCCGACGTGTCTCACAGTCTCGGCTGCAAAAAGTGCAAGAAAAAAAAACTGAATTGGAAGCGTCGGCTGGCCCCTCCTCGTGTCCCCCCCCCCCCCCCTGCTCAGGGTCCCTCCGGAGGTTTTCGGCGGCAGTGCAACATGTCCTCGTCCTCGCCAGCTCTTTCACCATGAGCGCCATCTGTCACATCGCGCCTCGTCGTCTTCCAGGAAATTACAGCTCAAACCAAACGCGACAACGTTATCTCATATATATCCCGACGGGGGGGTGGGAGGGTGGAGTCGGATAAAGGGACAATCCGTCTATATTTCCTCCACTTACCTGTCCTCTAACCTGAGGACGACGAGTTCATACCCTGATAGTATTTATAGTTCAATATATGCAGCAGTTTTCAAAAAGTGGCACCTAGAAAGGAACAAGAGGTATCACTTTTTCAAACAGTAACCTTATTATAATGTTGTTAATAAAATATAAATAAATTTTTTCTTTCAGAGCAGAAAATCCTGAAGAAGGCCAAAATAAAAAAGGGACATTCCTGTCATGATCTCACGGTTCTTACCCTCAGTGGAGGATTTTCTGATATTTTTAGCAACAGTTAATAATCAACTGCAGGAATTCTGGATAACAGATCAGTGAAACACTCGATAACAGCTCACAGTCTAATCTTCTGCTATCAGTGAGCTGGGCAGCGGCCATCTTGTTTCAGCCCAGTGGTGCAACATAGCACAAGAAGCACACCTTCCTCAACCCTCCCCTCCCCTCCTCTCTGTCTCAGAGTTTCTGCACGGTCTCTGAAACGTTAGCGGTGTTTCTCTCTCTATCTTGAAACAAAGTCAGAGTCATAGAGACACATAGAGAGAAGGTGCGACAGAGTTCACACTCCGAGGTGCTCGGCCTTCCTCGGGTTTTGTGTCGCAGTCCCAGATCTGTCAGCTCCCATCAACCCAGAGACAAACTGAGGACGAGAGGAAAATTACAGGAATATCTCAGACAGTGTTTTTTTAATTCTTAAAGTGCGACATGTGATCTCGAACACCGACGGTTTAGAGTCGATTTCAAGTATCAATAATTTCTTCAGCGAGAAGCAACTTGACAAGATTAAAGGAGCTGGTGAATGACCTCTTAAAGGCTGGTTGGTCATTTCTTCCAGATCCACTTTTTAAGATGTTGGTTGAAATTGTCTTTAGGTCCTGACAGAAATTAATAACTCATGTTCTCTGAAAAAGGAATCAAGAAAATCCGTCATCTGTAGCAGTTGTAAGCCTGTGTCTCTGATTATTCATATATGCGATTTATTAAAGAGGACATATTATCCCTCCTTCTCCACCTTTTCAAACAGTCCCCCTGTGGTCTAAATGAAACATCTGTGCTGTGCATTGGTCAAAATATAACATGAATTAAGCACCAGAGGAGGTTTGTGACCCTGTATAAACTCTCAGAACGCTCCGTTTTGGTGTGTGTGTCTCTTTAAATGTAATGACCCCCCCTGAGTTTTCCCCGTAGACATCACTCCTCTGTAGTGAGAATAAAAATGGCGGACCTGCTCAAAAGTTTTGTTCTAGGCTGGGGGTGGAGTCCATGGGTGGAGATACCAGGGGAGGGGAGGGGAGGTTTTCTTTTTTTTACCAGAATCCCACTGTGACATCACAAGGAGAGCACATTTGAAACAGAGCATTTTTCTCTGTGTTGTAAGACTTATGCAGACCACAAACAAAGGACTGGATGGGTTTATTTCACATGTTGTGGGTCAGTAGACTCTCAGGTTACACAGATATATGTTCAGAAACACTGTAGAAGTGGATTTTTCAGAAATATGTCTTCTTTAAGATCAGTTCATTACAAAGCCTGTCATTAATTAACCAACATCATCGCTAAATCCAAGAAACAAAATGAATCAAATACATATTTCAGTTAATGGTAAATACTCTGTTCACCCCCTCGAAAGACGGCTTAAATTGGCTTTAATTCTGACTTCAGTAAATCCTGATGAAAGCTATTTGTTCCTTTTGTTCAAATAAAAGTCATTGTTGTTGAATTTAGAGTCTCCTACATCTTACAACAATTCGGCCCTCTGGCTGTGAGAGTAAGACCAAAGTGTCCCCTCCCTGCGTATTCTTTGTACACTTAATGTTTTTGAACCCACAACAAACTTGGCGTTGTTTAAAAGGCGAGTCTCTCCCTTTGCTTCTTGCTCTGCTGTAAACCAGTTGATACCAGAAAGACCATTAGAGGCCGTCTAGACTGTGTGCCCTCAGTGTATCCAGCCTGCCTGCGTGGTGTTGGATGATGTACGTCTCTGCCCTCTCTCTCTCCCCCCCCGCCCGCCCCGCCCCCCCCGTGGCTCTTTTCTGGGGTTAGCTGGAGTTTAGAGTCGACTTTGTCCTGTCTCCTCGTCTCTCTCTCTTTTTGTCTCTGTCCCACTGTTGTGGCTGGGGACAGCGGACGCCAGCCACCTCAGATTCTGCTCCAGTGGTGTCTGGCTGCAGGCTGCCAACGTGCTGGTGACAGGGGTCATTCAGACAGACGCTGAGAGGGCCAGTTTAGTCCAGCCAGCCAGTCGTACAGACAACTGGAGGAAAACAAGGCTGCACGGTCTCCTGCTAATACGTCTGTAAGAAAAACATGCACTCTGTGATTTGAGAGCGCGGCCTGATGCAACGTTTTCCCGCTGCGTCTCGGTAGTCCTGTGTCTGCTGCCGTTGTCAGGTCACTAGCAGTAACAGTTTCCCATCTTCACGTCATGTCAGATAATTTATTTAACACATCTGGTGACGTCATGTCCCTCCAGAAGAGACGGATTGATAGCAGAGCTAAGTTGTGTTCACATTTTAGAACAAAAAGAGGTGACGCAATAATCAAGGTGCTAATTTTAATGACATTTTAAAGGACTTGAAGATGCATCTTAATGTGTATGAAATACTTGTTGATGACTCCTGCTGTCCTGTAGTTTGTCTGTTTAAGGCATAGACTGTGTAGAAAAATGGGCGTGTCTCCACCTTCAACAGAAAGTGAAGCCAAGTCATTGCTGCCATCTTGTGCTGCTGAGGCAAAGATCCCTCAGATTGGCACGGTCTACAGCCATGACGGTCTACAGCCATGGGCGTCTTAGTGGGTGGTGGTGGGTTGGGGGCCTCAGAGACAGGCCGATCAAATTTTCTATCATGTGATTGTTTTTCTACTGTCAGTATACAGTTCAGGTATATTATTAAAGCTGCAGCAGAAAGGCCTTGATGAGATTTGTGCTCAAAGGGAGGATCTTATTTTTCACAGTGTACGATGTGTTCACTCAGGTGAGCTTGTATTCAAATGTACAAGTCTGGAAATGAACGCTGGAGGTGTGAGGCGTGGATGAGAGACGCATACAGATACTGCAAGTTTGTTAAGTTTTTTTTAGCATTGGACAGTAGCCCGTGCTAAACTAGATAATGTCTTGCAGCTTAAGTACGGCAGAATGCTCCAATATGTTTTAATTTGATGGATAATGAGAAATTTCAGGGGACACCATTTGAATTCTCGACCCCAAGGTAGGGAAGCCTTGTATTGGAAAGGTCCTGACACACCAAGGGATAGTCGGCCGTCGGTCCTAGTTGGACCGTCTGTGAGTTTTTTTTCTTTTTCTACTAAAAGACCAAGAACTGACAACACCAGCGCCATTTTCTACTTTTTATCAGACATTATGCTCCGTTAGTATACGACCTATAATACGAGTGGTGACCGACAGCTGTGTGAAAATGGTCTTCTCGTATCATAACAACGGACTACCGCCCCCTGCTGGCATGGAGAGGTATTTCATGGTGGTTGGCCGTCAGCTGTAGTCTTTGCGGTGTGTTCAAGTGTCGTCTGCTTGGTGTGTCAGGGCATTTAAGCGAACAGGTGTAAGTTAAATATGCATCATATTGGGAAGTAACTGAGATAAATTCATGACATTATTTAGCTGTTTGTGGTTTTTAATTTCAGGCAACTTTCTTGTTTCTATAACATGGATTTTCTTCTGTCAGAGAATAATATGGAAAACAATTTCTGCCTGAAAGACAAAGCTTTAAAAGGCCAAAAGTCGTGTAAAATACTGTGAGTGCACAATCTGCAGTTATTGAGCCTAAAGATGCAAAAACAACTGAAAGGCCTTTAAAATCCCCGTTTCCCATCAGAATCGTTACCATTCCCAGAACCTTCTTAGAAATGTCACTTGGCTCTTGATCCGTTCTGAGAAAACCCGCTCAGCTCTCCAGTGCCGCCCTGCAGAGATATTGATTGATGTTGGACCGTGCCGTGTCTGGCTCCGGGTGAAGCCGAGGGGCCTCGGGGATCCGTGCAGACAGATGGGAGAGGGGATGGCGAGGGACGCTGGGACGGCAGAGCTTGCTAGTGGTGGGCTTAAAGCTGCAGCGCTATTGATTGACACAAGAGATAGAGCCGAGCTGAAAGCAAGACAAAGAAAAAAAAAGAAAATGCTCTCGTCTGAAAGTATCCCCCGGGTGGTTTTGGTATAGCCAAATGGAGCCTCCATGCCGATGTGATACGTGCAGATTAAATCTGCCTCGATAATATTTGCAGCAGTCTCAGTGGAGATGGACAGCGCTACAGGAAACAGAAGATAGGCAGTAATTAGACACATCCCATATCTCATGCTATCACGCAGAAATAATCTACCTACCCGTCTGACTCACTTTTATACTTTGTTCATTTCAAGGTTGAAGTAACATTGGCGAGATATTCTCCAGCGTTGTTTGAAGTGCTGGCACCTTAAGAAGTGTAATACTTTATCCAAGACTTCACCGGGTAAGATGCTCGACATTTTTTAATTTTTTTTTTAAAGAGGATATGAAGAAAACGATTCATTTCACAGGAAAGACATTTTTGAAATTGTATGCAAAACATTAAACCTGAGATATACAGTAAATCAGAATTCCTGTATTATAGTCAGTAGTCTGAGATTGTTTTAAAGTCTTGTTATCCTCTGAGATCGATGTCGTACTTAAACATTTAAAGGAATAAACAGAGATCTGAGTCTGATCATCTGAGATTTAAGGCTTAATTCTAATATCGGGGTCAGTATTCAGAGTTTAGGAAAGAATCAGAGATGAAAAATCTATGCTTGACGAAAAAGTTTTAGGCTTAAAGGTCCAATCAGTGAGATGTGTAGAGAGTGAGATGATAAAGGTGTCTTACTATCTGATCAGACATTAAGGAAACATGCTATGTTGAAGTGCTGGCTTCTCTGACAACAATGCAGCAGCCAGTATGTCCTCCTTCTAACTTTAGATTCTGCTCCTGAATGCTCTGGATTTGTTTGGACCAGAGAAGGTAGGCGCTTTTAAGACACGCCCCACATGGCTGTTTTGGACGCCCCTCGGTTTGCCAGATATGAGAGCAGTTATCAGGTCAACAGGTGTTGCAGCGATGGAAGCGGGCAAGAGAAGTGGTTCAGATAGAAGTGATTGTACCCGACCTAAAAAGCCTCTGCATGTTTCTAATAAGCTCCACGAGCAGAAACGTGCTCAAACTAGGATCAATATTGGAGATGCTTTTGAAAAATGGAGAGAGGTTAGAACACAGAAAGGTTTACAGACCCATGCAGAGCTGGATAAACACTGAAGCTTCAGAGTCCACCACATGGTGACCTGAGTGAGCATCCACTCTACAGAGGAGGGGGGGAGACAACTCTCTACAATGTTTAGAATTTAGACTGCAGTACATTTTAAACACTAGGGGTCAGAGTTACATATTCTCCTTTAAGTCCGATTTTTAAGAGATAAAAGTCTAAAACGTATTCTTGATTGAGCCAAAAGTTGGAGGTTAAAATGTTAATCTGAAACATCATTCTGAATTACGAGTTTGAAGTCTGAATCTTGGATCAAAGTTCGACCTTGTAGATTGAAGACAGCATTCAGACATTGCGGCAAGTTTTAGAGGTTTTTTGCAGGCAGCAATCAAAAGATCAAAAAGGCTGCAGAACAGAAGAACTAACAGGGGAAGGAAATATGATGCTGTTGTATTTGCTGAGAGCTGACATGGTAACGCTGTCAGAGGGATGTAAGATGTAAGATGACTCCCTTTGGAAACACCACAGATGTTCACTGTGACCATCGACTCCAGAGCTGTTGTCTGTTGTAGAGACCCGCTCGAGTCTCCACGAGTCAGAAGAGTTATAAACAAGACTGGAAACAGCTCGTTACCGTCACACTGCTCGTTTATCGTCTGCAGGGAAGCTCGAGACATTCTTCACAGGTTGCTGCAGACGTACTTTGCGAAGAAGAAAACAAAATATAAAAACAAAGAGTTAAGTGACTGCGGCAGGATGATTGGTTGAGAGAGGCTGTGACGGAGTCGGGTTGGATTATTACTTAAGGAGTAAATCAGCTGATCACCAGAGCAGGGAGACGGAGGCAGTGGTAGAGAGGGAGGGGCTAAGTTTAGGGAAGAAATGGAAGAAATGTGTGAGAGAATATAACCAGTCTTCTTCCTGCTTGAATTTACACTGAGATCATTAGCAGCACGTGCACAGGATCCTGTTTGTGTGTGTGTTTCAGCCGGTGTGTGTGTAGCATGTCTCAACAAGAAGTGTAAAAGTAATTTCCCCTCATGGGACTAAAAAAGGACATCATCTTCTTTGTGTTTAGTAATGACTTGAAATCCTATCTGCTTGCTTTAGTTTGACACATCTCAGTAAGTGATGAGCCCAGTCTGTAATTACATCATGTTTTTAATATTGCTTACCATCGCTGTTAAACTCACCCTGAACACCTGCTTAGGATTGTCAGGTATTGTTCTCTATGTGTGCTGGAACAGGACAGCTGTGTTTGCACCCTTTCTCTTCCATGCAGCAGTATTTGTTTTATGCATTGTTTGAATACTTTCCCTTGTTATTGCAAACACGTCAGCTCCTCAATAATCCTCCACATGAGTCATCATCACCACAATGACAAACTGCAGGCAGTGCTCATTATTATAAATCCTGCTTTTAATATGACTGCGCTATTAATTAGAGGACATGCACCTGCGTGACATCCTGTACGGCGCGGCACCTTCAAACCAATTACTCAGTCGGACGGCTCGTTCTATCCCGTCCAGCTTGACGCGTGTTGCAGCATGCTAGACTAGCATCGTATTTGAAACGGAGCAGAACGTAGTTTCGCTGCTGGCACCCTCCTGAGGCAGACCACGGCGCTCGCTGTGGAAACAGGAGCCTTGACTGAAGTGGCAGCGAACCACGGCAGTAAGTGGAAACTGGGAGTTAGTCGTTTTTATAGATTTATTCTAACAGCTCTAAAAGAGGGGATTGGCTGTTCCTATAAGTACTCTTGTCCAAACAGCACATAATTGTTCTTATGAATTCCAACTACTTTCACCAGGAACAAGTTTTAACCACGCTGTAAATATTAACGGCTGAAGCCTGAGTGACGTCACCCGTCTGTTCCTGCAGGGGGCGCTGGAGTCTCATTCGCAGCAGCCGGAAATCCTGTCTCAGCCTAACTTTCAGTCAACCTAACGACAGGCTGAGAGCTGGAGCGGAGGCGGGTTTTAAGCCTCTAGACTAATCGTTACATCGCACCCACCTGTCAGTCAGCTACACGCCTAACTATGGATAACACATATCATTCATACAAGCAAAACAGAGTCCCCCCCCTCCCCTGTACAGTGTGCCAGTGATTACAATAACTAGTCAGTCCTATTTTGTTTTTTGTACTCGGCTGTAAACATGTTACTTTATGCTATAAAAACTGCTTTTTCTCCTGTTATGTGTATGTGACTTCCAGTGTTCCTGCAGCCAGCCTCTGGTGGACACTCCATGAACTGCAGGATTTTACACTTCCTCCTTGGCTTAATTTTTCAACACCGGAGGTTGCCGCTTGATTTCAACTCATTGATTCTGATATCCATTTTTTTCATGCTCTGACCTGCTGATTCTGTTTTTTTGTTTTGTTTTACAGAGCATTAATAGCACACTAATCAAACATTTTTGTAACTTTTCTTTAATGAAAATGAAAATTTGTGTTCATGATCTCATGCTGACTTACTGATCATCTCTCATGTTCTCCTGAACCGATTATGAATTACCCAACAGTTAACCTCAGTCAGTGACTCATCCATTGTTTCTCGCTGCCTGAGCAAACAGTTACATCTGTTAATTATCGATATGCATTCATCTGGTTTATTTCCTGCAAAGATATGGATCTCACTGCAGGTCCAACTCTACATTTGACTTGGTCATATTTGAAAGGACCGACCGATCATGGCCAATCAGAGCTGATTCTGATCACCAGTCGGTCCATCAGTGCACGTCTAAGGCAAATGATTAAATTAGGTCTATGACACTTATTCTCTGAAGGCATTTATTCACGAGTATGAGGGGTTTACCTGAGCCAGGTAAATACAACAATGAAGGCGATATGAGCACATCTACAAGTTAATAAACAGCTTCTGCACTCGTGATGACATCAGAGTTTCTGTTATTCAGGAGGATTTGTTTTGCATAACGACCGCACCAAAGGTACATGAGGTTGTGTGCACAGGTTGAACATGAATAAGTAATCCCAGTGTGTGGGCTCGGGTGATTCATTTTTTTTCCGCGTTCTTGATACAAAAATGTCAGATTTCTCCCGGCCCGCCCAGGCGGTCGGGGGTCCTTCTCATTTAGATTCAGCAGCGCCTGCCAGGAAAGATGCAGAGACGAGATCACGATTCCTTTTGAAAGTGTGCAAAGCGAGTACTTGACAGCACTTGAAGTCTCCTGTCTTAACAGCATGTATCTGAGGCTGTGTGGTGGCAGCGCTGTGTGTTGGGGGTGGGTTTGGGGGATTATTGGCAGGAGCCTGTGATGGAGTGGAAGATAGAGCCGGCTGTCACAACAGTTTCAGAAGAGTCCTTTTGAAATGACAGAGAGCACTACTACATCCACGTTGCATCGTCTCCCACTCCACTCAGGGTCCATTTTGATTTGTGGTTTATGATGTGCACTTTATTGCAGCTTATCTTACATGTACTGCGCGCACTCCCACTCAAAATGGCTGCCGTGTGGACTGATCAGGAAGGATGCCACACGCTGCTGTGAGGCCCTCAGCAAATATCCGACAAATAGCAGCTTTTCAGTGTTGAAAACTTGTGGACGTTTTGAAAGACATTAAAGTCCGACACTGAGACTGCTCACTAGCCTGTATCTTCCGTCTCTGCCGAGAATGAGGAACAAACTTAACATTAAAATGAGTCATTGTGATTCAAAGAGGCATTCAGACTAGATAATGAGGAGGCACATTTTGTCAGGACAAACTGAGGAGAAAATGGACCTCACATTAGACTGAATGTTTGAGTTATGTCATTGATATGCCGACGACACCCTCCTGGGCTTTTAAACAGTGGCACAATTACATCAACACTGCTGTTGGTCTGGATGGTGTTTTCTTGTTCTGTATGATAAATGTTTCATAGTCTGAATGCCTTTGACCCAAAAAGTTCAGACAATCCAAAGTTTGAAGGAGCAGTATGTAACTCTGACACCTAGTGTTTAAAATGGGTACTGCAGTCTAAATTCTAAACATCATAGAGAGCTGCCCCCCCCCCCCCCCTCTCTAGAGTGGATGCTCACACAGGTCACCATGTGGTGGACTCTGAAGCTTCAGTGTTTATCCAGCTCTGCATGTGTCTGTAAACCTTTCTGTGTTCTAACCTCTCTCCATTTTTCAAAAGCATCTCCAATATTGATCCTAGTTTGAGCACGTTTCTGCTCGTGGAGCTTATTAGAAACATGCAGAGGCTTTTTAGGTCGGGTACAATCACTTCTA